CCAGAGGCTTGCGCGTTTCCGTCTAGAATAAAGAAGGATCCATTGATGTATTGCTTAAAAATGCGTAAAAAATGAAAAAAATTCGAAAAATAACCTTTAGAGGAGCTGGTTCACTTGAAGAAGGACTACGAGGAGTTTCAGGAGGATCGAAGAAGACATCAGTGCTATCTTCAACTGGGTCGTCGGAAGAGGAAGTGGAAGGCGCTCTGACGACGATTTTGTTGGTTGCCCGCAGAACCTGAACGGCCTTCAACTGACCCGGCAATAGATCCTCCGTTTGAGCATCAAAGAACGTAACATCCTAGAGTGGAGCAAAGAAAGAGAGTAGAACTAGAAATCCCAGCAATTTAAAAGTGTGACAAATTCTGCCAGCCTAACTTTGAGAAGAGCCTCGGGGTCTGTTGGTACTCGTTGAGTGGGATTCGCTTCAGGAAGAGGTAGATGAGCAACTATATCCAGGAGGGATTCGAGAACTTGATCGGTAAGGTCAATGGCCAGTAGTGGAAGACGACCTTCTATCTGGAATCTGCCAAAATAAGACAGGTCTCTCTTAATAATGATAATAATAATAATTAACACAGACCATGGCAAAAAAAGGAAAATTTCTGCCGAACAAAAGTATTTGACCTTGAATAACGATGGAATGAACCAAAGAGGAGATAGAAGTTGAGAATAAAGTCGGGAACCGGAATGAGCCAACTGATTCTGATTATACACAATCGTTCACTGGGCACAGTTAAAAGCTTCAAGTTTCAAAGTTCAAGATTGCTGAGACAGTTCCTGCCCACGTTAGATTATTGATCTCTCATTAAGTCATGCTTTTTGCTTTCCGGTAAGTTGGAAGGATTACTTTAAATAGTCATTGTAATCATTTTTATATGGCGCGTTTTAGTCGGACAGGGGATTTAATGGCTAAGTTTGTCATATCGAGGAATTTTAACACTACTGCCAGGATAATTTGGTGTCCAGGTTGCATCCTCGTAATGCGTCGTCGTTCAAAGGCACTGAATGGCACTGAATTCATTCAGAAGGTTTGGCTATTCCAATCATCAGTGCAACCCCCGCTATCCTGGATTCCGGGTTCAGTGGACGCAAAAGCCACGTGGAAAGAGTGCTAGAAAAAACAACATATGCGCGCGCACATTATCAGCAGAACTGGGCCTAAATTACCATCATGTTCTCTATAGACCGCCCACAAATTAAGCATATCCTATCCACGGAGATGAGGGCTAAATTGTGAACTGAAAAGGTCAAATTCATGCAAATATCAGCAAAAAAAACTTTTATGAACGCACGGAAAAGATCCCGGTGAAGATAACCATATTAAAATAGGAGATGTTTATAAATTACTACGCGAAATTTGTAGTTATTATAACTATTTACATAATTGATATATTATTATAAAGTCGAAATGATACAATTTCGAATAGTAGCGTATTAGCACGACCTCCTCCCCCCTATTCAGAAATAGTTTGTCCAGCAGATAGCAAATTGGTCAAATTGAAGGTAATCAGGAAACCAGAAAGGAAGGGACAACATTAATTGTGTTGTATCGTATCGTTTTACAGTCAATAACTTCCAACAACAATCTTCCCTATGCTCATAACTTTGTAAGAAGCAGCTTAGGCGGATTTCTTCTCCTTGACAGTAGACAAATGGCACTACGTTGTTGTATCGCTTTCAAATGCGGTGAGTTGGTGCTTTGAATTCGCCTGCCATAGCTAAACAGACGAGATGGGTGTAAAGATAAACCCAGATCTTTTGCTTAGTATTATTAGTAAGGTGCAGACTTAGCCAATCATACCACACACTAGTCGAGCGATAATGGAGGATGACTATGTTTTGACTAATCTGACGCACGTGATGCCAAGGTTTGATTCACGTTGAGATTGACCTTATTTCATCCAAAGAGCCTTCACCTCAAATAGGCAGCAAATCAGGTTGCAGGGTGGCAGATATTACGATATGGGGGAGGGGGGAGGGAGGAGTGGAGATGAGATACTTCGACTTACTGTGGAAGATCGAACTCTCGAGGGGCGATGCATCGACGCAACATGAATCCTACACCCAGAGGCTTGAGCACATGACCAGGACTGTCCTCCAGAGCGCGCATTTGCATAAAATCCTCGCCTGAAATCGGAAAAGAAAACAAAACAAAAAAAGAGAGTAAAGACATGATCAAAAATAGGATTGAATACACTAAGACGCAGTGGCCAATGGCATACAATAGTGCAGGACACACCACCCCTAAATGAAGATCAACTTCGAAAATACGAATTTCACTAAATTAAAATGTTATTAATAGGGGGGGGGGAGTAAAAGAAGGGCTCACCTCACACTACGATCTAATCAAGAGTTAAAAGAAGGGCTCACCTCACACTACGATCTAATCAAGAGAATGTCTCGACACAAGACGTATGTGAAATAATCAGATTGAATGTTTGGAAATGTCACTTCAAGGTATATGCAGTCTATAATCCACCCCAGAATCGTTTCAAGATATATGCAGTCTATAATCCTCCCCAGAATTGTCGAAACTTTGACTTTCTGAACATCTCACACAAATACTCTCTCACTTCAAGGTATATGCAGTCTATAATCCACCCCAGAATCGTTTCAAGATATATGCAGTCTATAATCCTCCCCAGAATTGTCGAAATGCAGTCTATAATCCACCCCAGAATTGTCCAAAATTTGACATAAATATTTAGAAATGTCAAAACCACTTCAAGATATATGCAACGTTTGGAAATGTCAAAACCACTTCAAGGTATATGCAGTCTGCCACCCCAGAATTGTCCAAACTTTGACTTTCTGAACATCTAACAACCCCAGAATTGTCCAAACTTTGACATTCTGAACATCTCATACAAAACTAATGTTTGGGAATGTCAAAACCACTTCAAGATATATACAGTCTATAATCCATTGTCAAAACCACTTCAAGGTATATGCAGTCTATAATCCAAAACACAAGACATATGTGAAATAATCAGATTAAATGTTTGGAAATAAAAACCACTTCAAGATATATGCAGTCTATAATCCACCCCATTTGTCCCAACTTTGACTTTCTAAACATCTCACACAAAATTGTAGTATTAGGAGACTTCAACGTCCTATAATCCGCCCCAGAATTGTCCCAACTTTGACATTCTGAACTTCTCACACCAAACTGTAGTATAGGAGACTTCAACGCCCACGCCACCCCAGAATTGTCCAAACTTTGACTTTCTGAACATCGCACCTCAATTGTCCCAACTTTGACTTTCTGAACATCTCACACCAAACATAACAGGAGACTTCAACGCCCACTCACACCAAACATAGTCCAAACATTGACTTTCTGAACATCTCACACAAAACTATGGTATTAGGAAAATGCAGTCTATAATCCACCCCAGAATTGTCCAAAATTTGACAGCAGTCTATAATCCACCCCAGAATAGTCCCAACTTTGATTCTTCCGAACATCTCACACAAAACCATAGTATTAGGAGTCAACGCCCATTCCACGAGATGGGGCTATAAGAATACAAACATAGCTGGAGGGGCTACAAGGATACAAACATAGCTGGAAGGGAAATCGAAGACATGCTAAACAGCAACCCTCTGGAACTTATTTATAGCAATAAGCAACTTCTACTACGATTGGTCACGGTCAAATTTGTGTGCAAGAAGTTAGAGTTTATTTTTATCTTAGGTGAATGAGAACTCAATAGCATCGTGCCATCATCGCCACGAGAACGTGTTGTCATTAGATTAAGGCACTGCAGACGCAAATAGTAACTACGCGATATAAGAGAAAAAAGAGCAGTAGAAGTATTAGAGAGGTTTGCTTAAGTTACAACCGAAGGCTGAGACAAACAAAAGAATTGAAAATGGAGTGGAACTGCAGACACCTGTAGAGCCGTCAGGTTATAGCCTTCGTCTTAAGTGGACCCCCCCCCCCCACCCACCCCCAAACACCCTGCTTTATAAAGTCAACTTTCTTTGCTTCTACTTCATGGATTGCTAGTTTCACTTGTAAAAGATCGAGGCGCAAGAGGAATTGACTTGCGGAAGCAAATCAATTCGAAGGACCACCTGAGGCAAGCCCACGCGGCCATCAGAGAACACCGACGCAACACGACGGTTTCTATTCAATTATTGCACCACCAGTTGATAAAGATTTACATTTGCAAATGTGCACCGAAACTGTAATAAACACTTCCCACCCCCCGCCCCCACCATATTTTATTACATCAGAACACTGACCACGTGTGTTTACCGATGAAACTTTTAACGAAAATTTAAAAAAAAGACACTAGATGTTGCAGGGATTGTGCGAGTATAGGTGGGTGCAAAATGGCATGATTTAATTGCTTAATTAAGAAACAAAAATTGTATGATTGAAGTTTTAAACTAAGCAAAGAAAGAAGAGCCACAAGTAGATGCAAGAACTAACCCCGGAAACTCTAGCGTTCTATACGCAAACACCAGGAATTAGTCATTAAATTTTGAAGAATCATCACCACGAACATGACCCCCTCCACCTTCCATCCTGGAGATCAAGAAAAAAAAGAAAGATAAGTCAATTAAGTGGGATCTAGGTTCATAGGTCATCGATGTCCAGAAACACTTCAAAAATAGCCTAAGAAGTGGTACAGATTTCAGGCATCGTTACTCACAGTCGACACTCATATCGAATGCACGACTGAGTGGTCACATTCCTTGAACTTTTATAGTCAGTGAATTGGATTGACTTGCCAAAAACTTGTGAACCAGGAGCCTGACTCACTCGCTTCTAGAGTGTAAGAGCTGCGAAGCAAGGCAACAAATGCTCGCTTCAAAACCGTCGGCATTTACATAACCAACGGCATTGGGATGTAGGATGGAATGAATTTTGACATTTTCAAGCCTATTATGGAGCGTGTTCACAGAGCATGACTTATGCAAAAAGGAGGAGGAGGAGGACATCCTGTGGCCGGTCTAACGAGAGAGAGAGTCTCGAGGTCTGCAACCACCAGTCTTCTGAATACAGAGTAATTAGCGAGGGTGGCCGCACAACTAACTGTGTTCGATGTACCGATGAGATTTAATTTGGAGACCTCGAACGTCATAAAACTGAAGGAAATTGTTGCGAAATATTGCAACAATTTGATTTAGTAGTCACGAGTATCTACACCCCTAATAGTCTGTTCAAAGTGTACGGGAAACTGTAGAATTTCAAGGAAAAGAAGTAAGAAGAATATTTAGTTTAAAAATATTCTTAAGACTGCATCCATCTAAGATTATTTTTTTCGAGGGATAGAAAGTATAATTTGAAATTCCAGATTCTGGAATTTGATCAACTTCACATTATTCCAACCAGTTTACTACCAAAAGACAGACGTCAAATCAGTTCTCGCCAAAAAAGCAGGTGTTCAAATACAGTCTCCTCTCGATCTTACATATGAAGAAGTCAAGAGACAGTGGAATATTTAGGGACAAGAAGAAGAACTTTTCCATCCGCGGCTACCTTGATTGGGTCAAGAAAATATAGGTGTGTCTAAATCTGAACCAAGGGGTGTGCGATAGACTTACCTCCACGTGGTGCACCCTGGACAACGTATACTCATACGGCAAATAAGTCTATTAACCGGCATTTGACTTCTGACTTCAAACTACCACGCCCCCCCCCCCTGGTTGTCATATTCGACTCCTTTCACAGTACTCACCTTACCTTTTTCTCTACCTTTGTGTCTGTCTGCCTCTTTTACATCTGTGAATCGCTCTTCTGATCCCCACCCCTCGACTTTCTGCTACTTTGATGAACCTTCCTTCTGTGAAGCCCGAAGTCAGCTAAATGGCTAATGATAGCTCTCATAACGCCTACCATTTGAAATAAATAAATCTGAACCAAAAATATAAAAACGAAACAGCAAAATAGAGGGGGGAGGGGAAACCTACCTTTCCGAATGAGTAAGATCTGAGCGGCAGTCAAGGAGACTTTAAATTGATCGTACGCTTCCGAGAGGAGCTCCTCGTGACTCGCATGCATGAGTTGTTTATAGCGCTCATCGGACTGCGCTCGACCAGTAGCAGCCAGCGTGGACGCTTTGGAAGAGTGAACGTCTGTGGAGCCGGCGTGTGATGCCTGTTCAGTAGTAGGTGCTTCGTCAG